GACACCACTGAGGTTCAGAGGCGCTGAGTCACTGCACAAGACAAGCCACTAAGTGGCAGAGCCAAAAAGTGACCCCCAGGCCACCCTCCTTCTGCCGCACCCCTACCTCAGTCGGCTAGCTTGGGTGCCCCTGCCCACACTGGCTGCCACCGCCCTCCCCCTGCCCCGGCCCCTCCCCCTGCCCCGGGCCCCTCCCTTTGCTGAGTCTGGGGCAGGCACAGGCTCGCGCCCTCTCAGGGAGCCCGCCCCACCGTGCCCAGGTTCTGGGGTGGCTACAAGTGCGCCGTGGCCAGGCACTTCTCTGAGGAGCCCCAGAAATCCCCTCGTCCTCTCTGGTCTCCATGGACACAGGGCTCAACCCACTGCCCCTCTGGTTGTGGGGTGGCAACAGGGGTGACCAGATGGCCCGGGCAGTGGGTGTGTTATCTCTCCACCCACGTTTGCCTCTTGACGTCTGCATCCTGGGGTCCCAGAAGCCTGGGGACACAGGGACAGGGCAGGCCGTCCTCTGAACCGTAGCCCCAGCCCCTCAGCCCCTCAGCCCCACTCCGTGTGACTGCCAGCAGCTTCAGGCAGAGCAGACCTCAGGGAAGCAGGCTGAGAGGGCTGGCCGCTCCAGCAGGAGGAGGGCCACAGCCAGTGTCCACCTCTGGACGCCAGGGCCGTCCCCAGGCTGTCCTGGTCAGGCTGGTGTTCCCAGGAACAGATACGTCACTTCCAGGGCAGCCAGCATTCTTGGGGAGAGGGCGTGACCCGCCCCCTCCCTCAGGGGCCACTGGGAGGGCCCTTTGGGCCCCGCCTTGTGTCCTCAGGGACACACACCAGGGACAGGGGCTGTCAGCCAGGGGCCAGGAGAGACACCGACCCCTCCTCATCTTCTGCCCGAAACACCATCTTCCTGGGCGCATTCTTGTGTGTGAAGTCACTCTCTCTCTCAGCTATTTTATCATGTCAGAAGCTGGACAGATCCCACAAAGAGAGTTCTGTGAAAGCAAACACGATGTAATTTGGCTCTAACTTGGTTTTTCGGGAAACCCAGAGCTGCATGCGCCCCATCCCTTCCCTTCTGAAGCCCACGCACCACCCCTAGCCCCTGTGCAGAGCCTGACGGAGGCTCCTTCTTGCAGCTCTGTGGGTGGGCTGTGGGGGTTTCCCCTCGGCCAGCCTTGCCTCCCACCCTGTTTGTATATGGTCACCAAGTGTGTGGGTGTCCAGCTTGCTTTTTTCATTGCGGGGTTTTTTTTACAGAAAAAGCCTAATTCCTTAAAACTCTCTCCCTTTTTTTTTTAATTGTGTGAAATACATGTAACAAAAAGTTTGACGTTTTGATCATTTTTAGGAGTACAATTCAGTGGCATTAATTGCACCTAGTATATTGTTACCATCACCACTATCCATTTCCAGAAGTTTTCCATCACCCCAAACAGAAACCCAGCCGCCCTTCAGCAATGACTGCTTCCCTTCCCTTCCCCCAGCCCCTGGTGATCACTAACAAACTTCTGTCCACGCACCTGCCTGTTCTGGGTATTAAGTGGGATCATGCACTGTCTGTTCTTTTGTGTCTGACTTATTTTGCTCAAGATAATGTTTTCAAGGTTCATCCACGTGGTGGCGTGCATCAGGACTTCGTTTCTCTCCATGACTGAGTACTAGTCCATGGTGTGGATGGACCATACTGTGTTTATCCGGTCCTCTGTTCCTGTATGCTTGCTGGAAGTGAAGAGGACTTGAAGCGTTTACTGTTGAAGATCAAATACCACAGCCTTCAGTATGGATTACACCTCAACATAAAGAAAACAAAAATCCTCCCAACTGGACCAATAAGCAAGATCATGATACAAGCAGAAAAGATTGAAGTTGTCAAGGATTTCATTTTACTTGGATCCACAATCAACACCCATGGAAGCAGCAGTCAAGAAATCAAAAGATGCATTGCACTGGGCAAATCTGCTGTAGAAGACCTCTTTAAAGTGTTGAAAAGCCAAGATGTCACCTTGAAGACTAAGGTGCGCCTGACCCAAGCCATGGTATTTTCAACCACCTCATATGCATGGGAAAGCTGGACAATGAATAAGGAAGACCGGCAAAGAATTGAGGCCTTTTAATTGTGGTGTTGGTGAAGAATACTGAATATAACATGACCTGTCAGCAGAACGAACAAATCTGTCTTGGAAGAAGTTCCACTAGAATGCTCCTTAGAAGCAAGGATGATGAGACTTTGTCTCACATACTTTGGGCATGTTGTCAGGACGGATCAGTCCCTGGAGAAGGACATCATGCTTGGTAAAGTAGAGGGTCAGTGAAAAAGAGGAAGACCCTCAAAGAGATGGATTGACACAGTGGCAGCAACAATGGGCTCAGTCATAACAATGATTGTGAGGATGGTGCAGGCCCGGGCAGAGTTTCGTTCTGTCGTACATGGGGTCACCACGAGTGGGAGCCAACTCGA